TGACACGTGGGGGCGCTGTCCACTAACGCTCACAGCATTAAGAACGCTCTTCTAAGTCCCAATGTTAAACGATGTTATTTGGTATAAGCTGCCATCACATTTTGATAATATTTGGCAATACATGTTCTTTTATCGCTAACTTGAATATTCAATTGCCAAAAGTAATGATGTCCCTTTAAATTACTTTTAAAGGGACATCATTACAACAAGTAAGCTCTAATATTTCTCAATGTCATGAAAATCTTTGGGTCTCCACCAAGAATCCAGTAAATGACTAGCCATTATGGGGCATGGATAGGCACTGGTGTCTTGAACACTTATATATTTTAGGATGCTTAATTTTGAGGGATCATAAACAAATGTGGTGACATTTTGCAATGCATTATGGGCTAGTGGGGGATACAGGAGGGAATTGTGGTAATGGATAAAGAATTAGCATTAGGGTCATCTAACCTAATTAGTTATGCATAGATATAATGAAGATAAAAATTTACTAATAACTGCTTATTGTACACATGTTTAAGACCTTTAGGTAATTGCTGGTCATGTGACCTAATTAAGTACATGTCTAAGATACATTGTAGATATGCATTTACTTTTAACTGGACATTGTCAACAAGTATAAGAACATTTGAATAATTATATTATCTGGTCACATGACCTTAATTTTTATGAATATTTGTAATTTCCAGAGATTTATTGGAAACGCGCATTTACTAAAAAAAATGGGAAATGTCCACATAACTAAAAATAATAATTATGCACATATGCTGCACACACCAGCTACAACAAACCTAACTGGTCACAATACATTTAATTATGCATTTAATTAAGTTTATTTTAATTATGCACTCGTTTAAGATTTTCATTTTAATTATGCATTCGATTACATTTCCCCGAGATACATTGCAGATATACTTTACTACAAACTGGATATTGTCCACATGTATAAGATTTGGATAAACTATTAGTTGGTCATGTGCCCTAATTAATAATGCACATATTTAATTCCAAAAGATGCATACTAGATACGCCTTTACTACAAACTGGATATTGTCTACATGTACCTGATCTTGAATGATCAAATTTTTTACATTGTACAATTTTTATTTCAAAAATAAATAAAATTTTATTTAATTGCATGTTAATGATAGTTTACAGTGTATGACTAACCTGAATTCAGTGTTATATATTGTAAGTACTTGCTACCTAACTATCCAAGAATAAAGTGGAATCATGGCTACCTAACTTACCAAGAATAAAGTGGAATCATGGCTACCTAACTTCATTTACTTTTTTACCCAAAATGACGAACATTTGCTGAAAACAGATAATTGAAGATAGCATCATGAGATGAAAAAATCTAACAAAGGTCCACACCCAAGTACCTACACTCCAAATAAATTTTAAAAAAGTCATTTATAGCATAAGTTTGACTCAAGATGAATAATGGCAATACTATCTTAATTAGCTATACAAAGAAACTGAATAAAGACAAAATTTGCAGTTTGTAAAAAAAAAACTATTTTAATTAATTTAATATAACAATCTGGTAATGAATATATGTACAAATAATACACACAATTTTTTTTCTAATAGATATTCAGTTTATCATTCTACACTATACTTTGACTAATATGCCATTGTTTGTAACATATGTATTTAGTAATATAGAATAGAATAGTGTCAAAGCTGTAATTCCACAGTTAGTTTCTCAGCAATTTCATGATCTGGAACAAGCTGAAAATAAAAATAGAAATATTTAGAGGAAAGTTGCAAAATACTACAAAATAAGTCATGGTAACAAATTAAAAAAATATTGGAAAATGTGTATTAAATATAATATGCATATATGAAAATGAATATACTGTGTATGATTAAATGTTTTATGGAGAAAATAATAAAATACAATTTTCATGTACATAAGTTTAGCAACCCAATCCCTTTTCACATAAATTATTAAAAAATATCTAGATATGACTTTTTCAGCCACAACAATTTTAAGATGTGAAGACAAATATTCACCATAGAAACCAATGTAAAAGCAAAAGTCACAATACATATTTTCCATGACATTTCAGACTTGATTCTTGTACAGTTTATTTCTCATTTTTACCATATTTGACCATCACAGTTTTATATTCTCCAAGAGTTGCCATGTGAGGGCTCCCTGTATGAGATTTTCACCATATTTGACCATCACAGTTTAACATTCACCAAGAGTTGCCATGTGAGGGCTCTCTGTATGAGATTTTCACCATATTTGAGCATCACAGTTTAACATTCACCAAGAGTTGCCATGTGAGGGCTCCCTGTATGAGATTTTCACCATATTTGACCATTACAGTTTAATGGTCTCCAAGAGTTGT